CGACGGCCGAAACTCCCAGTGACTTGCCCAATGGTGGATTGGCAACGAGGGCCCTTGAACGCCGAGCAAAACAAACCGATTGCATATCTACCACCTGCGCAGCCTATCCAAGTTTCAGGCTTCAGGGCGACTGGATTCGTCGCAGACAGAGAGGCGCTCCACTTTTCTTTGTTTTTCCAAAACTTGCAAGCGCCGCACGTCGTGACGTGCTTTGGGTAGTTGTGACTGGCGACGTGCTCCTCCAGGGTCATGGAAACAATGTCAAACTTCTCGACTACTTTGCTCGGGGCGGAGCCGCTGTTGGAGTCGCTGTCGGAGCCGCTGTTGGAGTCGCTGTCGGAGCCGCTCTTGGAGCCGGCGGCCTCGGCAACTCCGTCGGCGTCGGCAACTCCGTCGGCGTCGGCAACTCCGTCGGAGTCGTCGGCGTCGGACGCTCCGTCAGCGTCGGCGCCCGAGCTGTTGCAGCCGCGGCTCGACGGGGCCGCTCTCGATGAGGCCCTCGATGAGGACGAGGCCGCACTGGCAGGGCTCGACGGGGCCGCTCTCGATGAGGCCCTCAACGAGGACGAGGGGCATCATAACCATCATCATCATCAGCATCATCATCATCATCATCATCAGCATCATCATCATCATCATCATCATCAGCATCGTCATCATCATCATCATCATCATCATCATCATCATCATCATCATCATCATCATCATCATCATCATCATCATCTTCATCATCATCATCATCATCATCATGATCATCATTGCATCATCACTATCACCATCACCATCATCATCACCATCTTGCACGACCATTACGATGATCCGCATCGCCATCATCACTACGATAGCCACCATCATCACCATCACCATGACCATCTCCACGGGGGGGGGCTCAACTAACTCAACTAAAACCCGCCCTAAAGACAGCCAGACAACAACAACAACAACAACAACAACAACAACAACAACAACAACAACAACAACAACAACAGCAACAACGACAACAACAACAGCAGCAGCAGCAGCAGTAACAACAACAACATCAACAACAACAACAACACAACCACCACCAACAACAACAACAACATCAACAACAGCAGCAACAATCATCTCAACACTGATCGCTCTTCGTTGCTCGCGTGCCATGCAACATGTCTGTCCCCAAACCCTCCATACCCACCTCCTTCGACTTCGACCGTACCCACCTCTGGGGGTGTAGATCCCTTTCTTGTCCCGTGCGATTCGTGGTCACGGCCCCAGAAACGGGAAGCGGACGGCGAGAAGGGAAAACGGGGAGACAGCGAGGAAGGCAGGCGGACACGAGATGGGAGGGGGGCAAGAAGGAGACAGAAGAATTGAGGAGGAGGAGGTCAGCAGGGGGGGGAAGAAAAACCGCAGGATTGGCAGGCAGACCCCAACAGGCGGGTCGGGCGGGCGGACCCTGACGGGCGGGGTCGGGCGGGCGAACCCTCGAGTGCGGGTCGGGCGGGCGGACCCCAATGGGCGCGCGGGGCATGGAACCGAACGGCGCAACTTGTGAAGAAACCTCGGGCGGGAACAGGATTCCGGCACAAATTATGAGGAAATCTCGTGCAATCGATTCCTGAGGGGTGTGCCAACATGGGCGGGGGGGCGCGTGCAAACCCTGCCGCTGGTGCCTTCGGTGGAGCTCCCCATGCGGCCACGATCCTCGTGAGGGGTGTGCAGAAATCAGCGGGGGGGCGCGTGCAAACCCTGCCGCTGTGGCCTTCGGCGGAGCTCCTCATGGGGCCGCGATCCTCGTGAGGGGCGCGCCGAAATGGGCGGGGGGCGCATGCGAACCCTGCCGCTGAGGCATTCGGTGGAGCTCCCTGCAAGGCCACGATCCTCGTGAGGGGTGTGCCGAAATCGGCTGGGGGACGCATGCAAACCCTGCCGCAAGGGCCTTTGGTGGAGCTCCCTAAGGGGCCGCGATCCTTGTGAGGGGCGTGCCCAAATGGGCAGGGGGGCGTGCTGCTGGGGCCTTCGGTGGAGCTCCCCACGCGGCTGCGATCCTCGCGAGGGGTGCGCAGATATCAGGGGGGGGGGCTCGTGAAAACCCCGCCGCTGGGGCCTTCGGTGGAGCTCCCTATGGAGCCGCGATCCTCGCGAGGGGTGTGCGGAAAAGGGCGGGGGGGCGCGTGCAAATCCTGCCGCTGGGGCCTTCGGTGGAGCTCCCTGCAAGGTCACAGCGATCCTCGTGATGGGCGTTCCAAAATGCGCGGGGGGGCGCGCGCAAACCCTGCCGCTGGGGCCTTCGGTGGAGCTCCCGATGGAGCCGCGATCCTCGCGAGGGGTGCGCCGAAATGGAGGGGGGGGGGGGGGGGTGGGCGGTGCAAGCCCCGCCGCTGGGGCCTTCGGTGGAGCTATGGGGCCGCGATCCTCGCGAGGGGTGTGCCGACATGGTGGACATGCGGCGAGCAGAGGCAGGAATTGGAGGAGGGAGGAGCGGGGGGGTGGGAAGGGGCAGCGGGAGGTGAGGTGAGGTGAGGTGAGACGCGGGGCGCTGTCTCATCAAAACGAGGACCCAACACCACAAGATGGTTGGGACACAAAATTTAAACAACCGTAGTGCCCCCTTCGAGGAGGACCAGATTCCGCGCGCAATGTCCTGCCCGCTCCCTTGCTGTCCCCGAAGGCACAGAAAACTTCTCAGAACGCCAGAGCGCTTCTGAGAAGCCCCGCCGCCTTCTAAGAAGGGCTTCTCCTTCTCACTCCGATCAGGAGGTCGAGCTCGGAAATCGAGGATCGACACTCCAAAGTTGCGGATTGAGTTGGCTCCTCGATTTAGGCCGCTGGGGCCGCTCCGGGCCACGGCGGACGCCGAATCGATGCCAGGCCAAACCCCCGGAGGGGACATTCCGAGCGCATCTTGACAGGGAGGTTCAGAGCACGAAGAAGACATGCCGATACCAATACCCCTCGCCTGTGTTTCGCCTCTGGGGGGCCTCGGTTCGCCACGCTTCCGCCTCGGAATCCTGGTGGGATCGCATCCTGGGACAGGCTTGAGAAATAGGAAAGAGCGTGTTCTACCGCTGCTGGCGGAAAGCCGGGGGGGGGTCACTACCGGTTCGAACCCCTCCCCCCCCCCCCCCACCGGAAAACCGGGGGGGTCACTACCGGTTCGAACCCCTCCCCTCCCCCCCCCCCCCCAGTCCATCATGAAAAGGGGGGGGGGTCACTACCGGTTCGAACCCCCCCCCCCCCCTCGAAAACCGAGTGGGGGTGCGGACAGTGGTGGGGACGGTGGGTGGTGCGGGACAGTGGTGGGGACGGTGTTGGTGGGGACAGTGGTGAGGGGATAGCGGGACAGTGGTGGGGACAGTGGGACAGTGGGACAGTGGTGGGGACGGTAGTGGTGGGGACAGTGGTGGGGACAATGGTGGGAACAGGGGGGGACAGTGGACAGTGGTGGTGACGGTGGTGGTGGGGACAGTGGTGTGGGGACAATGGGAATGAGGTGGAAACAGTGGGACAGTGGAGGGTACAATGGTGGTGGGGACAGTGGTGAAGGCGGTGGCGAGGACGGCGGTGGGACAATGGGACAGAGGTACAGTGGGGACAGTGGTGGGGACAGTGGGGACAGTGGTGGGAACAGTGGGACAGCTCAGTGGGACAGCGGAGGAGTCAGTGGGACAGTGGGGACAGTGGGGATAGTCGGGCAGTGGTTGGGGCCGTGGAGACAGTGGGGAGAGTGGAACCGTGGTGGGAACAGTTCTGGGGACAGCGGGGACAGTGCGACAGTGGTGGGGGCACTGGTGGGACAGTAGGGGCGGTGGTGGAACCAGTGGGGACAGTGGTGGTGAGGACAGGTGCTGGGAACACCAGTGGGGGATGTGATGCGGACGGTGGTGGGGACCGGGAGTTTTTGCTGGCGGAGTGTGGGGGGGGGGGGTTCGGGGTAGTGGTGAACCCCCCCGGTTTTCCGGATCCGGGGAGGGGGGGGGGGGGGGGAGGGGTTCGAACGGTAGTGAACCGGGTTTAGGACCCCCCCCGGTTTTCGAGCGGGAGGGGGGGGCGGGGGGGGGGTTAGGGGGAGGGGGGGGGGGGTTTGCCGGGGGAGAGGGGGGGGGGCCAGGGGTTCCAGCGGGGGGGGGGGGGGGGGGGGGGATTTTCGGAGGGGGGGGGGGGGCGGACCCCGGGTTCCGGAGGAAAAGGTTGGCAATTTTCCACAGTAAAGCGGCGGTGGATCACGCTCTCTCAGAAATAGCGGTATCGATTCATGTGTGCTACCCCCGACCATGCCGCGCGCGCCTGCGATGCTGGCCGAAGATGGCGACGCGCAGCGGTGCGAGGACATCTTGTTCTGATTCTTCTCTGGAAAAAACCCTGCCGCTCAGACAGTGCCCAGACGCTGCACCAAACAGGCCCAGGAACGCGCGAGGACCAACCTCGGCCACCGCCAATTAGCACCCCCCTGCTGCTGCGGCCCACATGGCCCACTGATAACTACAGGCGCTTTGAAGCCCAACCAGCGCCAACAACAACCAACTGACAACCGTCGTCAGCCGGCCCACGGGCCGTCGGTCGATACAATGAACTAGTGGCCGAGCCGGAAATTCCAGCCGCGCACGAAAAAACCGCGCTGGATGCGGGAGGAAGTAGAGCACAGGGGAGGGGAGGAGCAGGAGCAGGGGAAGCACTGGGAGCGCGGAAGGGCTGAAAGGGGGAAGCAGAGGGGGGGGAGCGAGGGAAGAGGGGAAATGGGGTGAGGGAGAAAGGACAGGGAGGAAGTGGAACGGAGCGGGGAGATGAGATGTGGTTTGAGGCTTGACGTGAGGCGCCATGAGCTGGCTTGGTGCAGGCAACTTGGTATCATCAATCGGGTGGTGGACGCAGTCCAGGTTATCCCGTGTGGCGTTCCCTTGCTTGGACAATCGGTCATCATTGATGCTATGCATGGCCCGTGGATGTGGCGTCGACGAATGCCTCATCACGCGTTTCAAAGGGAAGGCTCCTGCTCGATGTCGAATGGGCCTCCTTTAGCTCGCTTGCCTTCCTGGTGTGAAGCCACATGCAAAAATGCCTCGCGGAAACCGTTCATCAACCTGTGAGAACCAGGGTGCTAGTGCTGGGAGGAGGAAATCCGATGATCAATTGATTACGCAATTACCATTGAGCCAAGAAGACTCCGGGATGGACAATGCAGCAGAAAGGGAAGAAACAGGGGCGGAGTCAAACGCAGG